GAGTGGAAAATCATTGCTTCAGAGAAGACCTCGAGTGAGTAACAGGGGCAGGGCTTGTCTAACAGATGTGTCTGGTATCGTGTACCCACCACCTCCTGCTCCCTGGGGGTTTCCTTCAGCATCTCTGAGGAATGCAGAAGTGCTTTTTCTTACAAGTAATTGATGGGACGTTTCTAATGGAACTGGGATCACATACACCTCAATTCCTTGTCTACAGGGCCATCCCAAATGCCAAGGTGTGCAGCAGTTACCCAGAAAAGCTTAAGGAGAAGATAGGCAGTCCCTCATTAATTAGCAGAGCCCTTTGCTCTGGGTGTGTGCGGAGATTCTCCCAGCACATCCTTAGGTTGCTGTCTTACGTTCTTCGAGTACTGTTTTAGTACTTAAAACTCAGATTTTTCAGTAACTTACACTTTTTCTAACACTTGGAAAACCAGTAACCAGAAAAAACCCAAGGAGATAAGGGGAGGAGCAGAACCAAAAGCCCCTCGTTGGCTTTCGCTTGGGGTGACCCCCGACTTTACTGACCTGGGCGGTGTCTCCTTGTCTCCCGCTGCCAGGTAACACGTACCTGTGTCTGGCTGTTCTGGACGGGGTGCTGTGTGTGATCTTCCTGCACGGCCGGAACAGCCCGCAGAGCTCCCCCTCGAGCACCCCCCGGCTGCTGAAGAGCCTCAGCTTCGAGCTGCAGCCCAGCAACGTGGTGGAGAAGCCCATGTCCCCCATGCAGTACGCGCGCTCGGGGCTGGGCACGGCCGAGCTGCACGGCAAGCTCATCGCTGCAGGTCAGGGCACGGGCAGGGGGCTGGGGGGTCCTCACCACCCGCTGGGGTTCCTCAGCATCACAGCACGTGGGCTCGAACGGTGGTGCCACAAGAGCCTTTGCTTCCAGGTGGCTACAACCGGGAGGAGTGCCTGCGCACGGTGGAGTGCTACGACCCGCAGAGCGACACCTGGACCTTCATCGCGCCCATGAGGACGCCCAGGGCGCGGTTCCAGATGGCAGTGCTGATGGTGGGTGCACACACGGGCACGCTGAGCGCCACGAGGGCTTCCTCGGTGCTTCTGGGGTGCTCCAGTGCTGAAGGGGGGGTGTTTGTTCCACTCAGGGGCAGCTCTACGTCGTGGGGGGATCCAACGGCCACTCGGATGACCTGAGCTGTGGAGAGATGTACGAGCCAGAGATCGACGACTGGACTCCTGTGCCAGAGCTGAGGACCAACCGCTGCAATGCAGGTGAGGCCTCTGCAGCACAGGGGGCGGGGGTGTTTTAAATTCACTCCTTTCCTTACCATTCCGTCCCTTGTGAACAGGAGTGTGTGCCCTGAATGGAAAGCTGTACATCGTGGGTGGTTCTGATCCTTATGGCCAAAAGGGACTGAAGAACTGCGACGTGTTTGATCCCATAACAAAGTCCTGGACAAGCTGTGCTCCCCTGAACATCCGTAAGTTCGTTGTGTAGTCAGGAGGGAGGGGGAGAGAAGGGCAACCGCAAAACTGCCCCAAAGCAAACCCCAAACCAAAGCGAGCTGAGCTGCTGTGGGATGTTGGTGCATGGCTGTTGCTGGCGTTCGCTTGCAGGGAGACACCAGTCTGCCGTGTGCGAGCTGGGGGGGTTCCTGTACATCATCGGGGGAGCCGAGTCGTGGAACTGCCTCAACAGCGTGGAGCGTTACAACCCCGAGAACAACACGTGGACCCTCATGGCGCCCATGAACGTGGCACGGCGCGGCGCCGGCGTGGCCGTGCGGGAAGGTGCGGGGCTGCCAGGGGCTCTGGGGAGGGGGCTGGCTCTGAGGGGGCTCTCTTGGTAGGGGCTGCTGCTGCAGGGCCTGAGCAGCGTCTGGTGCTTGGTGACTGTTCCACGTTAAGCTGCGATGTTAGTGGAGTACAAAGCTGTGTTCCTGCTCGGGGAGGACACAGTACAGTAAGAACCTGGCCAAACCTTGGTTGGATTAAAGAAAAGTAATCAGAGAGTTTTGGGGCATTCCCTGTTCGCTCTTTTCAAAGCACTCTAGAGCTGCACCTGTTTGCATTTGGACTTTTCCCTGGCTCTGACCCAGGTTCCCCTCAGCTGCCACGCTCAGGAGAGCCAAAGCAGGTCACCTTGTCACTGCCAGAGCCCCTGGGGTTCCTCCTTCGGGCTGGGTCTGCGTTCCCAGGAGGAGGCTGGGACCCAGCGCCCATCCTGTGCCCTTCCCTCTGCCAGGCAAGCTGTTCGTGGGCGGCGGGTTCGACGGCACTCACGCGGTGAACTGCGTGGAGATGTACGACCCCGCGCGCAACGAGTGGCGCATGATGGGCAGCATGACCACGGCCCGCAGCAACGCCGGCATCACCACCGTGGGCAACACCATCTACGCCGTGGGCGGCTTCGACGGCAACGACTTCCTCAACACCCTCGAGGTCTACAACCCGGAGACCAACGAGTGGAGCCCCTACACCAAGATCTACAAGTTCTGAGTGAATTAAATCCCCTTTTCAGACTAACAGGCTTAGTGATGTAATTGTGTGTCAGTAGAGGTACACCTGTGAATAGGGGCGGGGAGGGCATAGACGTTGCCAACAGCAACACAGAGCTTTTGCATATTGCATATTAATGTGCTGTACATATTTTGTTTTGGAAAGAATATTGAGATGAAGGGGGTTTTTGTGTATTTTAGAACTTCTGTTTTGGTTTTGTTTTCAAGATTTTGAAGATAAAGCAGGAGAAACTAGACTGGGCATATCATTTCAGGAGCTTCCCCCAGTGTTTGTTCTGTCACTTTGCACATGAAATGGCTTCCTGTAGGTGTGTTCTCGGGGCAGGAAGGGTAAAGTTTGGGGGGATAGTTGTTTTTTCTTTCTCATCAGGCCTTGGTTTCCTTCAGTAACTGGAACAATCTGTAACAAGAAGCCTTATTTAAATAGATATAATGGCTATTTTTTTTATTAAAAAAAAGCTGACATGCCTCTGCTAATACCTTATCTTTTACAATTGCCTTTTTATAACAGTTTTTATATACTCAGCAGAGTATTCTGTCTGTTGAAATGCACATGGCAGACCAGTGGTTATTGGAACAAAGAGACAACCTTGGAGTTCATAGAGAGCGAGTGGGACAGTGGACTCACCCGTGTGGGAGCTTTGCCTCTGCTGCAATAGTGTAAGTTAGTCTGCACCACCTACCTTAGAGCTGCACAGGCTTTCTGAGACACCACAGCTGAGACCTCCTGGGGGGGAGAATTCCTTTGGCTCTGGGTGTTTTGGGGACGCAGAGCGCTTTCTGTACAGCCGTTTGTTACTCTGGGTGAGCTGATCTTTGTCCTCAGCTCGGGGAGGGGGGTTCTCATGGGTTTTCAACTCTTGCCAGCTGGCACTGAAAATGTGTTGTAGTAACTGTCTTAAGTTTATTTTTCTAATATTCCGAGCTGGAAGTGTGATAGAACACAAATAACTTGATTTCCTATGTGCTCATAGTCCTGTTTTCGTTCACTCTCTCTGTTCCTCTGGATCAGCTGTTGGGTTGGGATGACTTGGTGTCTAATGTGTAGTGCTGCACACCTAACTGGGTGCCAAACTAGCACTGACTGCTTGCTGCTGCTGCAAACACATTAAAGGTACCTTTTGGGAAACCCTCGCACCACAGGCGTGCCCTGAGCTCTCTGTGTCCTTTTCTTTGCAAACAGAACTGGGGGATTCTAAAAACGACCCTTTGGATGGGTGCAGGTCCAGGAGCAGGGAAGGGGGTGTTTAACTGACAGCCCTGGAGTAGAAGGGAGGGGGTGAAGTGTCCCTCGTGCTGCTGGAGAGCACAGGGCTGAGCAACAGCCCTTGTGTGGGATTGGGAGATCTGCTTCCAAGGTAGAGCCACTCAAGAATTAACCACCGTTTATTTTAACAATAAATTACATCTGTACAATCGAGGTTTTACAAATACATCCAGAAGTTAATATCAAAATAGACCCTTTAGAACTTTGCCAGTCGTCTCTCGTCGCTGTACAAATGCACACACAGAAGAGGTAGCGTTAGAAAGGCCTTGGAAAATGGCTTTTGGAAAGTTTCACGGGCTTAAAGCAGTTCTGGAAAGCAACCAGCAGTGCAGGGAGAGATGGCACCTGCAGAGCAGGGTGACCAGTTCTCCTTGGCAGGAGGAGGCGGCAAGAGAAGGATGAGGAGTTTCCCAAAGAGCACTGCCAGCAGGTTTCCACTGTATGAAGGTTAAGCAGGCATTTTAACAAAGGAAAAACATCCCTTTCCTCTGTGAAGGGCTCCAGGACAAACACACCTGCAGCAGGGAGGGGGTTCTGCTCTGTCTTTAAAAACAATGAGCATCCATCTGTCCCCGTTGTCCCTCCTCAGTCCTTCATTCCCAGCCTTGTCCTCGGCCCCTTTCCATCCTCCAGAGCCCCCCACGGGACACAACAGACTCTTTTATCTCCCCTGTCACTTCTAAAATACCAGCAAAACAAACAGAGCGTTTCCTATGGGCTCATTAACAGCACTCAGAGCAGCCCAGCCCTGCTCTGCATCCCAACGCAGCCGTGGTTTTCCTGGGTATCCATGGATATCCAGCCGGGACCCTCCTTGGAGACAGAGCATTCCATTTCAGCAGAAATTCGACATTTAATGTCCACAGGTAACCAGGTTCTTTTTCCTTCAACTCCAACACAAACCAGCACCGTAGAGAACAAAGAAGGCGGGTTTTTGGCTCCTCCAGCACCTCCCTCTCCTCCCCTGGGGAGTCAGGGTTCACCTGGGCCAGGCCAAGGCAGGGCTGAGCCCCCCGGCTCCG